TTCCAACTCCTGTAACACAAAGGTTCTGGCATTTTCCAAGTTCCCAAATCTCGCAGGGCCTCTTCATCTGGACAAAGTAGAACCTGGTGTAACAGTCTGGTCAATACAGCCTCGTTTCTTTATGTAACAGTGGGTATGCAACTATCTGCAAAACCACTTAACGATCTGCAGCTCCTAATTCCCTGCTTCATTCTTCATCCTTATCTAATAGCCTTTGCTTGCCAAGGGTCTCCCCCCACCCTGTGACAAAGGCCAGCTTTGTTTACTCAGGAAACTGGTGATTCTGGCCACAGCCCGCACGGGATCTGGAGCTCTCTCCAAGCCCCAAACTCCAATATCAGACCTTAGGGATGTGTCAAAGTAACAGAGTCACAACTAGCTCTGTATTTCTTCAGTAGCATGTATGCAACCTTTGAGAAACAGCTGAAAGTCTTCGGAAGAAAAAAGAAAGGAAGGAAATTGGAGAAGATGAAATGGAGTGAAATGAATCCTCCGTTAGGTTTCTGAGGGCAGAGAAAGCAGCGCTATATTTGAAATGGGGTCTACAGAGAAAGAGAAAAGCATGTAGGATTAGCTATAAATTTCACAGTTATTCTGAGCTGTTGTAATCTGCTGTTTGACCTGTGCCTCCTCCCTCTGCCTTATGAGGTTTAAGTAGGATTCTGAAAGACAGGGGGTGGGGAGGGAAGGTGGCTTAATGTCCTAAGCCCTAGGTTTGAAATACCTAGACTGTCTATATTTGCACACTTGTTAATCCTGACAAAGCCTGTTGAGCTATTTTCCTGCTGTCAGGTTGAGTTTAGAGATTTTGCAGGAGCAAATTTGAAAACAAGACACTGCTTATTGCGTATAGACTCAGTAGAGTCCTCAGTACTCCAAGGCAGACGATGAGTTCTCTCATCGTAGGGTTTTGCGGGGACAGAAATCTGCCCTTTCCACATGCATAGCCATAGTGGGCTGTGGGAGATGACTGGCTCACTATCCCAGCAGCACTGCATCAACACAGTTAGGAAATCACGTCCAGGTAGGAGCTAGGCAGCCAAAACGCCAAGTTCAGATCATTCTGGCCCAACCTTGAATTACCATGCTGTTTAAGATCAGCTGTGTATTCACAGGTGACAAGTCAATTATTTTTAATCTGTATTCAAATAGTTTGAAGCTGTGAGAGTTTTTTAAGGACCTGTGAAGATCAGCAACGCTATTCTGGGAACTGAAGGATAATGCCCTCCTACGGCTCCGGGGCTGGGGTATTAATTGCTGTTGTGTAACGCTGCAGTCCCTCACTGCCTGGCTTTGCCCTCACAGGACACACATCCCCGTCCTCACCGAACAAAAGTGAGCAGCCTCCGGCAACTGCACATAGCTTGACGTTCTGAAGCAAAAACATCTCATAAAAAGATAAAATTAAATTGCTTTCTCTTCAGGAGATCCAGTAACTGATGAACAACTGAAATGAGTCCTGGGTCCTGGGCAGGGGCAGTCAGGGCTGCTGGTGCCCTCAGGGCTGTGAGGATCAGTTTTATGTCATCAGCAAATTCTCCTTCCAGTTTTGGAGCCTTCTTTTGTCTTTGTTTTGTAAATCGAACTGTTCCAAGCGGCTTTAAAAAATCATCCATCAGTGAAAGCAAAACAAGTTACAAAAACACAGCATCAAAGGGCACAAACACATGCACAACCATAATGCATCCTCAAGCTTCTAGTTCATCTGGTCAAGCCATGAAGAGACTGAAAAAAGTAAATATTTTTATTAAGTCTACTATGCTAAGCAGAAAGTCCAGAAGACTTTGGGGCATGTAAAAGAAGTTTTGAGCCCATTTTTTTGGTGTCTCTCTGGCCCACTCCCCAGAACTGCATCAGGAGATTTCTGCCCCCCTATTTTACACCACATCCAGAGGGGGTACACTGGGAGCTTACCCCAGCTGGCTCTGGGCATATGGGCAGGGAAGGGAGCAGGACTTCACCGCCCCTCCAGGCACCCATGATGTCCCAGTGTAATTGTGCTACAGCTGAGGAAGGCATGGCCAGTACCATACAGACACGGAAAATAAGCCTTCACACACAAGAAATGCATCCGTTACCCAAATCTGTCCCGTATCCTAAGTTGCCAAATAAGCAAGTTTGACCAGCATTAATTCCATTTAATAAAAATATCAGAAATTTGCCCTTTGGAATAACAGAGTAAAGCACCAGAAGTAAATTATTTTGTATAGAATCACAGAATCATAGAATGGTTTCGGTTAGAAGGGACCTTAAAGATCATCTTGTTCCAACCCCCAACCTTCCACCACTGGTAATCAGCTCTGCTTATTATGTTGTTGGGTTTATTTTTCATTTTATTGTATTTATTTTATTATTTTTACAGTAGCCCTTTGCTTGTGAATTACTGACTTCTTAACGAGCAACAGATACTTTACTGTGTGTGCTGCAGTGTGAGCCTGGAGACATGTAAGGATGGACCTAGATACTTGTATTGTGAATGGTTATAGAGCAGCAGATGGGTAAATCAGCACAGCAGTATACTTTTAATATCATCATAACACATTTATTTTATTATTTTTTGTACTCACAGAACCACAGGATGATCTCCATAGGTTACTGTTATGATTTTTTTCATTATTTAATGTGTTACTCTGAGGCTTTTGGATGCCACTGTAAAAAGCACAGTATTTATCTGAGAAAGCTCTGGTTACGTGTAACAGGATCGCCATAGCCTTCTGCATCACATAAATGTTTTCTTTTCTACCTACAATGTATGGTTTTTGGTGTAGAAAGGAAAACCAGCACATTTCTCATCAGTCTCTTTGTGCAATGTTTCTGGTTCCACATCAGGCAGATAAACATGTCTGCCTTCTCAGTATTTCTATTCCTGATGCACTGGCTGCTGAGGTTAACATGTCGCCAGTGGTCTTTGCATGTCTACAGAACATGGCGGGGGCTTTACTGGCAACTACAATTTCCCTCAGGTGTTTTTCAGAGGTGGAGTTTTTTGACCTTGGCCTTCAGTCCCTTCCTGCTTGGGGCAAGCCAAATGATGCACCAGATCAGAATTACATACCCAAACACATTAAGCTGATGATTACGTTTTCCAAACTCTGGTATTTTGTCAGAGCAACAACAGTGACACTAAGACACAGGAAGAAAGCAAAGAAAATACTATTTTCCAAAATCCAAAGTGAAATGTAAGGGAGAAAGAAGAAAATTAATCTTGTCATGGACACCCAGCAAGCCTAAATTTAATCTGTAGTTTCAATAAGTACTAAGAAATGCAATAAAAAAGCAGCAATGTGAAATGCATCTAACCACATTCTTAATAGATCTATCAAATCAGATGATGGAAACTTAATCAGCAAAATAAACCTTGCCCTCCAGTAAAATACTTGATGAGATGCTTCTTGAAATACTACTTTCAAAATTGAAATTCAAGCTGGTGTGCCAAAAAGCAGCATAAAGTTTGTGGTACGTGATGTGTCATTTTTTGGTAAAGCATCTGCTCTTAATACTAGGCATAATCTTATTTGAAAACTACATGTGGTTACTGCCAAACTTCATTTAAGCCCAAACAGTGGTTGAATGGTGTCTCTGCCTTTGCTGGGTTTGCTGTGATTGTAATTACAGTGAATCTAGCAACCACAGCAGAATCTGCACAAAGAGTCTGTGAAGCAATGGACACTCTGCACAAGTTATGCACACATCACTTCTGCATTTACATTGAATCCAGTGTGTTTGAAACACTGGATTTACCGCTTAGGTGTCACTCTGCCAAACAGCCTTGCACAGAAATCAAAACAAACACTACAAGTATGGCAATGAGTCCCACCACACATTTATGGGACTTCTTTTTGTCTAGTATAGTCTCGAGGGCAGATTAATGCCTACTGGTTGCAAAACCTCAACCGGCAAGACGTGTGTTGATGTATGACAATAAAAATAAGTAACATGCTAAACCTGATTGATGATAGATACTCATCCAAGCTTCTTGTCTCAGTCACAGGCCATCTGAAACTGATGACAGTCTTTCCAAGGTTTTCCAAGCTATTGGATTCTGACCAATGTAAAGATCACAAGATTAAATTTACCAGCTGTTAATTCTTTTTATATGCACAGTTGGAGCAAGTACTCTCCAAATTCAGCAACTGTTTCTTCCATCCTCACCACATTTTTACAGAAACAGAGGAACTGTTGCAGTGGCTTAGACCACCTGACCACGGAGACCCATCCTTGACAGGTTTCCATCACTAGCTTCAGAGAAGGAAGCACAAAATATGGAATTAAATCGACCTGAAATGCTCTTTCC